CATGATCCTACATTCCCCTCAGCAGAAATGAGCAATGAATGCATAAGTGTGCAATGAGATACATACAAGATTTTTATATGGCATCCTTTATAATATTCCAAAACTAGAACTCACTCAAAATGTCTATTATCAGTGGAATGGATAATTAAATTGTGGTACATTCATACAACAATGTGACAATTAATGAGAAAGAATGACACAAGTTAATGTGGAGGAATATTCCAAACTCATTATTAATAGGTCAGACACAAAAGAACACCTACGCGATGACTCCTCTCATACAAAGTTTAGGGAATAGACAAAACTGCTGTAATTAGGAACACATCCTTTAGTGATGAAAGTATAAACAAAAGCGAGGAATTGATTACCGTGAAACTCAAGATACTGATTAAATTTGGGAGACTGGTAGGATGTAAAATTATGAGGAAGGAGCTAGAAGTTTCTGGGCACTAACAATGTTCTAGGTCTTAACCTTGGTGGTGTTACACAGGCTTTAGTGTGTGCTAAATCACTGAGCAGTATATTTTGTTTTATTCACTCATCTGTATATGTTCAAGTGGTTGAGAATGTCATAACACTTAAAAACAGAAATTAATGTACCAAATATGGCAAACTATTAATGATTGTTAAAGCTAGGTAAGGGGTAGATAGGAGTCTCTTATAGTATTCTATTTTTTTTGTTTGAAAATGCCAATAAAAGGAAAATTACATTTAGAATATAAAATATATACAAATCTGTTAACTCCCCTCTGCCTATTTTGTTTAATTTTTTTCCCCAAGAGGAAGATTCACCCTGAGCTAACATCTGTGCCAATCTTCCTCTATTATTTAGTATGCGGGCCACCAGCACAGCATGGTGGCTAACAGAGTGTTGTAGGTCCACACCCAGGAACTGAACCTGGGCCACCAAAGTGGAGGACACTGAACTTAACCACTAGGCAGCTGGGGCTGGCTGTAAAAATTTTTTAAATTAATGATCATAATTAACCAAGGCTACCTTCTCACTTCTAGGACTGGATCTAAGCAGGCAAGTGGATCAAGGAAGCTATTAAAGAGAGGTAATGAAACCTAAATATATTCCATAACCAAAAGAGTTCCTGCCCTGGCTGCATATTCCTCTAAAGCCCTGAAATGCAGACTATAATTAGTTTACAAATCTTGAAAGACTTATCCTAGTAAGGGAACCATTTAACATTTAAATAATTCTCTTAACAGTTTGGGATTTAAAATTAACATCTGAATTTTATTGGACCAGAGACTACCATTGAATAAGCTACTTTGAGGTTCTGAGAAATGCACCTTGAAAAAGTACAGAAGTAAAAACACTAATTCTCATTACTAAGAGATAAAGAAATCTGGTTATATTTTCAGGAAATGCCATTTATGCAAACCAGTAAGAAATTCTTCTACTGTTTTCACTTTTAAGAAATATGCTTTCAATATAAAACTCAAGTATGTCTATATGTGAATATGATTTTCAGCTGTTAAATCTCAGAACTTAACTTTATCCTAAATAGGATTCAGAAATCTCCCTAACTTAGAAATAAGTAGTGTCAGTCTCGCCATAAGTAGATTTCCTCTATAAAATATAATTTGAGTCTAAGCTGGAATTTCCTTTTTCTAGCGACCTCTAGGTATCAACTAAATCATCCACAATTCTCTTCCTCATTTCTTCAACAATCTGTCCCGGGTCACTATGCTCCATGCCATGCTCCCCACAAATGTAGGTGTTCATGACACAGCATTCCTGCTAGTTCTACATTTAGCAAGCCTGTTTTTCAAATAATGCACTTGTATATCTTGGAGACCTTCTTAAATGGTCCAGTTTTCTCCACATGCGTAGGTACCTGCACATACAAGTCTCTAGAATGTCAAAGTTGTCAAGTTAATGATCCTTCTGTAAATGCACAAATTTATGTGAGTTTGTCTCATATACATTTTCTGGGCAAAAGGTCTATTTTTTCATTAGTTTTTAAAACATTTCTGTGATCACAAAAAGATTAAAAATATGCATATAAATGGACCAGAGCTAATTTACCTGAATTAATCTAGTGTGACATTTCATAAAATATGTCATTTAGAGGTCCAAAGTATTATTCCCATAACCTACAATGGAAAAAATAAAACTAAAAAAAAGTCTCAAAATACTTTAGACTCTTCTCATATCGTACAGAAAACATTACAATAAAGAGGCGAGATCAATTATCTTTAAGTAGAATTGCATAACTCACCACCAGATAATAGTCACAGCAAAAGGACAGAAAACCTTCCAAGGTTCTGTGAAATCAAAATGATTAAAAAATACTCATAAAAATGGAGAACTAAATTGTGTGGGTTAAACAAGAATAACTTTTCTCCAAGTATATTAAGACTTTTATTGCACGACCTACAATGGAAATTACAAAATACAGAAATATTTTGAAATTAAATATAGAAGAAAAGAAATAATATTAAAATAGGGCAAAACACTAAATTGTTAGTAAGTAGAAATTTTTGAAGCACCGTAAGATAATAGTCTCAGCAAAATGTGTGAAAATTTTCTTTCAGGTTATATGTTCTTTTGTTTTAACCATATGGACAGTGTTTAATCAAGCAAACACAACGTCTTTAGGTGGCATGTTGGTTCTCAATATCAAGAAAGTTTCTTGAAAAACTATGTCCTTTATATGATCATCTTCAACAAAATCAAGTTGCTTTTCAAGGTTTTCTCAACTGTATACCACTAAACCATCACTAAATCTATCATACAAAGAGAATTGAACAGTATGCCCTGTTTTGAAGATGCATTAATGAACAAGGTGGCAGGGATTTTAAAAAGTACTGGAGTAGTCCATGAGAGGCCAGAGATAATATGCCTAAATTGAACATAACTTAAATAGTTGTGAATATACAGTAACATTTTTATGTCCTTGCTATCAACTGTAATTAGCATTCTAGGAAAACAATGTATATGTATGCTATGATTCAAAGCTTACATAAAGCTTGCTATCAGTTCCTTCTGTGGCTAATTTCCCATTCTGAACATTTTTACAATGATTTTTTTTTTGGCTTCTGAAAGAAAATGTCTTTATCAATGACTACTTTAACTACGTACATCTGTATAATAAAAAAAGAAGTTTACCAAACTTCTGACATGGAATTCAGGTAAATCTAGAAAAATCTAAAATTTGATTTTCTTGTACTCTTGGAACAGCAAGTAAATCACCATGTTCCAGGGACTGTGCCAAGAGTTTATAATAAATCATTTATTGAATGCTTTTTTATAAATAACATATGGTCACCTGAGGAATCATTGTTGAAAAATCAAAACTTTGCCTGCCTTATAACAACAGCAAAAGTCTAAACATTTAATTATTACCCCTCTAATACGAAATTTAAGAAAACTGTACAATTCATTTCTTCTAACAGTACTTCAAAATATAAAAACTCAAATAAAATAAATGGGAAATGATACTAAGGATAGTTTCACATGGTAACAGTGAATAAATTTTCATGATCTATCATATGAACAACGTGAAAGGAAAATGTTGATTTGAGCACCTAAATGTATGTCTCCTCAGCACCAACAGGAAAAACCTTACTCTGTTAATATATCACACCTATGATAGCATGGTACAAAAGTATGTCTTCCCACATCTTGCTGGACATGGAGGGCTGACTGTGATACTAGTGTTCTCATTAATTGGCGGGGTGAGTCATAACAATCAGCAGCTTAGGTCAACAGTTCCTTCGTATCAATGAAATTGAAATTTTAGTCTCTCATACAATTGATTCATGTCTGCGCCCTCTACTGTGAGGTAAGTTCCGCAAAAACAGGGACCATGTTTTGTTGCTCACTATCGCATCCCCAGCTGCCAGCACACTGCCTGCCATATTTTATTTGGAAGAGATGAATGAATGGTAGCAGAGAGAGATAAGAAAGGGAGAAATAGAGAAAACCAACCTGGAGGCCAGCCCCCTGGCTGAGAGGTTAAAGTTCCACTCACTCTGCTTCAGCAGCCTCGGTTCGCAGGTTCAGATCACGGGCACGGACCTACTCCACTCATCAGTCATGCTGTGGAGGCATCCCATGGACAAAGTGGAGGAATAGCGGCACAGATGTTAGCTCAAGGCTAATCTTCCTCAAGCAAAAGAAAAAAAAAAAAAAGAGGAAGATTGGCAATGGATGTTAGTTTGGGGAAAATCTTCCTCACCAAAGAGAAAACCAACCTGACAAAGAAAGAAATTCAAATTTAAGCATGAAAGTTTATAGAAGTTAACATAGAACATTTTTGAAAGCAATATAAATTCTCATTTATGTTAGTTGGATGAAACTCTCTCTAAAGGTAAACAATAAATGTAATGAATTTAAGGCCTTATATTATGTACTTCTCTAACTTGTCAAATTTTAAATATATTTAAATTTTATAATTTTAACAAGTTAAAACAAGTTTTCTCTTACAAAAATAACGTAAAAAATGAAATTTATTTGTTATCAAATATTTTGTGCAAACTTTCAGAAGTTTCTCTCAATCAAGTGAAACTATTATCTGAATTTTCTACACATGCATCTTTTGAAGTTGACCAGATTACTTCTTTGTTTGATCCACCCTCTCAATTGCAAACTCTAAAATATTTCTCTGTGTGTGGTCACATCCTGAACAAATCCAATTCGGTTTAATTCAAAGAGGCAGGAAATGGAAACTTCTAACAGGAACGGGAGGTGATTAACTACAAGAGTAACAGCCTAGCATGACCTGGGACTCACCTCTCCTCTTCTCCCTGTGGCTTTCCATTAATATTGCACTGGGTTCAGCAAGAATCAGACTTGCTGGTAACAGGTTAACAGTCTCCCACAGAGAAAAAGCATCTATTCAGCTGTCAGGTCCATAACAGCAGGTTGCAAGCTAAGTTATTGCGATGTTCCCTAACACCCTTTTTCTTCCCACCAAGCCACAAACAGGCAGCTGATGACACTGGAAGAGAATGTTTTCTTTATAGTGAAAAACCATTACCTGAGAACTCTCAGGAAGAGTCCAATTACCTTAGCAGCATCCAAAATATTCTCCAGGTACTGTCCTACACGGAGGAGACTTTCTGAGCTGAGCTTTGTGTGCCAATTTATAGACTCAAGGACATATGAAGACATGCATTTCAATGTGCGAAATCCTGATTACAATGGGAAATTCCTGTGTGTGCAAATTGAAATACATCATCATCATCTGCAGGTTGGCAGGAGAGGGAAAACAGAATCATACACAGTTAATGGACAGAAGCTTCCTTGAGAGAACATTAATTGTGATGACATCGAACAGCTCACTTGTACCATTTATAAAGGCATAAAATATTCCAACTTTCTCATGTACTCTCATTTCATTCACATGTTAGCCAATTTATTATTGTTCTCCACTTCTGAGAGCTGAGACCTCTGATTCTTAAAAACAAATAAATAAAATATATCCCACTAACCATATAATCCCATAGCTAATTATAACAGAGGTAGGAGCCAAATTCTGACCTTTTGACTCAAGTCCAGTGCATTTTTCATTATATAGCCTTTCCATTTCTCACCCCTTTCCTCTTCTAATGTAAGGTAGTTATGAAATTTGAGAGTTCCTCAAGCTGATTCTGTCTCTTGTTTTCACTCCTGAGATGAAGAATATGTATCAGAAAGCAGAAACTTCTCAGAGAATTGGGCATCGTGTTTAGCCAAATTACATTTTGGTCCCTGTATTGCGTCCAGGCTATTAGGATGTTTTCTAAGTTCTCTTTTCCTCTGTTTTTTAATGTATCTGAGACCGAAAGTCTTAACTGTGAGTAAATTCTTTCTCTCTGAAACAAGAAACAACTTTAGCAGTGTGCTGAGTAAACAATCTGTTTGATATAATACCATCATAAATACATTTAAATTAAATTACCTAAACTGCCTTTATCTTTCCATTTTTAATCTCCAGACTATCTTTATGAAATATGCTTGTTATTACAAATGCTAGAAATTCTTATCCCGGTAATGAAAGTTTACATTGCTTGTTTGCTAAAAAATAGAATAAACAGAATATTTTCTGTTTATGTAAATGTAAACTGTCCATTGTTATCACTGGTTTCAGTGATGAAAAGAATTACAATGACTTTTTAAAAAAAGAAATGGTAATCCTTACAATGTCTATAAAAGGAGTAAATTTTGCATTTTTTAGTGTTACTAAAATTGTCCCTTTTTTTGCCAGCAAGAGAATTAATAGGAAATGTTGCCTTATATAACTTTTCAATAACCAAAATTACATCACCTAGCATTTAAAGTTCAATCAGAAACTGAGAGTTGATATTGTTAATGATGACCCAAGAGCATCACAAGTTTTGTGCCAACTAAATTATTTTTTTAAAAAAGCTAAAATTGATCAGTGCAGTGACATCAGCAGGAATGGCAGAGTAAGGACTTCCTTACTTACAAAAGCCTATACCTCCATAAGTACAATGAGAACACTGCAAAAATTGTCAAAATCAACTTTATCCCAAGTCCGAAAATTAACCAAAGGCTTTGAATAATCTGAGAAACGTTTACTCAAGAAAAAAAATGACTGAACAATGAACACTGTGATGTTTTAATTTGCCCTATTCCCATACACCAGCTCAATAGTAGACCTGAAAATCAACAGCCCTACAATTACAGTATTCATGACAACCAGCACCCTAGTAGCCACTGGAGGTGGAGTGGTGGTGGGGGGACATGGGTAAGAATTACCCAAAAGCCCCATCTGCAGAGCATTATGATCATCTGACAGTTCCTGGAAACATCCACACATAGGGAGTGCCTTTATTTGACATGACTCAAAACTTGCACATTACAAACAGCTCTTTCTTAGGTGCATTTGTTGAAAACAATCAATGGCAAATGTCTGAGAAACTGAACAAAAAGAATGAAGAATAATGAATAGAGACTCAGAGATCTGTGGGAAACTATCAAGTATACTAACATAAACATAACGGGAGTCCCAGAAATAGAGGAGAGAAGTAGACACAAGAAATATTTGAATAAATGGTGTCCAAAACCTTTCCATATTTAAAGAAAAACATTAATATACCTATCCAAAAAATTCAACAAACTTCAAGTAGGATAAACTCTTATATATATATACTCTTTTTCCTCCCGTCAGATTTAAGATACAGCTGCATAAAGCAATAATTATTAAACTATACTGACAGGCGTATAATGTATTAAGATGCAATTTTAATAACATGCAGGAGGGGAACATATGGAGCAGTACAGAAGTGGAGATCCATAGACTATCAAATTGGTGTTAACCTGAATTAGATGATTATAAGTTAAGATGTTAATTATAATCCACAGGGCAATCATCAAGAAAATAACTCAAAAATTGTAATAAAAGAAATGACAAGGAAATTAAAATTGTACACTTCGAAAATATCTGTTTAACACAAAAGAACACAGTAATGGAGGAATAAACAAAAAAGACATAGGACAAATAGCATACAAACAGCACAATGGAAGATATAAATGCTACTTTCTTGATAATTTCATTAAATGTAAATGAATTAAACACTCCAATCAAAATAGAGATTTATAGAATGTATTAAAAATGATCAAATTACATGCTGTCCACAACAGACACACTTTAGACTTAGACACAAATAGGTTGAAAATAAAAGGATAGAGAAAGATGTACCATACAAACTAATATCAGACAAAATAGACTTTAAAAACAAAATTGTTACAAGAGACAAAGAAGGATATTTTATATCGACATATGAAAGAAATAGACAATTCAGTAACAATAGTTGGCTACAGCAATAACCACTTTCGATGAAGAATAGAACAACCACACAGAAGATCTACCAGGAGATAGAAACTTGAACAATACTATAAACCAGCTACACCTAGCACAAGCTGTAGAATACTCAGTCAATAACAGTGGAACATACATTTTGCTCAAGGCCACATGGAACATATCCAGGAGAGACCATACGCTAGACCATAAAATAAATCTGAATTAATTCCCAAGGGTTGAAATCGTACAGCAAATGTTGTCTAACACAATGGAATGAAATTAAAACTTAACAATGGAAGGAAATTTAGGAAACTTTACGAATACGTAGACATTTAACAACACATTCCTAAATAATAACTCAAGAAATTGTAAGAGAAATTAGAAAATACTTAGAAATGAAGGAAAATAAAAACAATACACCAGAACTTGTGACATAGCTAAAGCAATATTCAGAAGGAAATTCACAGCTATAAATGCCCATAGAAAGAAGAAAAGTCCCAAATCAATAACTTACTACCTTAAGAAACTAGAAAACAATAGCAAGCTAAATCTAAACAGGAAGAAAGAAGGAAATAATAAAGATTAGAGTGAAAATAAATTAAATAAAGAATGGAAAAACAACAGAGAAAATAAAAAAAACTAAAAGTTGTTTCTTTGAATAAACCAACAAAATTGAAACACCTTTAGATAGACACAGCAAGAAAAAAAAGAGAAGACAAGTTACTAAAATCAGGAATCAAGGAGAGATCATTCTTACCAGTGTTACAAAAATAAAAAAGGACTATCAGAGAATACTATGAACAATTGTCTGCCAATAAATTAGATTACCTAGATGAAATGGACAAATTCCTAGAAAGATAGAAACTACTGGAACTGACTCAAGAAGAAATAGTGAATCTAAATAGATCTATATCAGATGGGTTAACTGGTGAATTTTACCAAATATTTAAAGAAAAATCAACACCAATTCTTCACAAATAATTGCAAAATAATAGTATACTGAAAGCTTTCCCTTAAGACCATGAACAAGATGAGGATGTCCACCCTTGTCACTTCTATTCAAAGTCATACTGGAGGTTTTAGCTAGAGCTAAAGAAGGCATGAAGAAGGGAGGTGGGGGAAAGCATATACGTGAAAATAAAAATTAAAGCTGTCTCCATTCACAGATGACATAATCTTCTTCTTTCTTCCTCTTTCCTCCTCCTCCTTCTTCTTCTTCTTTCCAAAGTCCCCCAAACCCCCAATAAGTAGTTGTAGATTGTAGTTGTGGGTCCTTCTGGTTGTGCTATATGGGATACCGCCTCAGCATGGCCTGATGAGTGGTGCCAGGTACATGCTCAGGATCTGAACCAGCGAAACCCTGGGCTGCTGAACTGGAGCATATGAACTTAACCACTAGGCTATGGGACCAGCCCCCACAGATGACATAATCTTATAAATAAATCCAAAAGAATCTGCCCAAAAGAGAAAATTATTAAAGCTAATATATCAGTGTATCAAGGTTGCAGGATACACAATCAAGAAACAAAAATTCATCATAGTTCTGTACACTAGCAGTGAACAAAGATTTTTGATGTGTGTGAGAAAACAAATTCATTTACAATATCTAAAAAAATAAAATACTCAGGAATTAATTTTTCAAAAGAAATCCAAGGCATATACACTGAAACTACAAAAACAAAATATTGCTGAAAAAAATTAAAGAACACCTAAATAAATGGAAAGACATCCCATGTTAATGGATTAGAAAATTACAATTTATTATTGTAAAGGTGGCAACACACCCAAATCAATCTCAGAGTTGATACAATTCCTAACAAAATCTCAGCTGGTGTTTTCTTTTTTTAAGCACAAATTAACAAGCAGATTCTAAGATTTAGGTGGAAATGAAAGGGATCCAGAATAGCCAGAAATGTCTTGAAAAAGAACAAAGTTGGAGGACTCACTTCCCGATTCCCAACTTTGCATACAGCTGGAGTAATCAAGAGAGTGTGGTACTGGCATAAGGATAGGCAAATACATCAGTGGAATAGAATTAAGAGTCAGGGTATAAATCTTTACACTTATGGTCAATTCAATTTTAACAAGGATGCCAAGATAATTCAATGGGGAAACAATAGTATTTTCAAGATATGATGCTGTGACAATTGAATATCCACACGTAAAAGTTGTAACTTGAACCCCTAACTCATATCATTTACAAAACTAACCCCAAATGGGTCAAAGACCTGAAAGTAAGTGCTAAAATTCTAAAAATCTTAGAAAACATAGGCATAAATCTCTGACTTTGGGTTAGGCAATGGTTTCTTGGATATGACATAAAAACCACCAGAAAAAGAGAAAAAATGGATAAATTGGACATAAAATTAAAAATTTTTGCCCTTCAAAGGGCCCCATCAAGAAAA